TCTCGCCCTGATTCACTTGCTGTACTGTGCAATCTCTTTCACTCTGTCGCTCTTTCTTGTCTTCTTTTTCGCTCTAATTCGCTTGCTTTACTTCTAGATTACACCCCCCCGACCTCTTACATTCTTATTCACACTCTCTCCCCATCTCTCCTACTCTCTCTGTCTCACTCTCTCTCTTCTCACTCTCTCTCTCTCTCACTCACTCTCTCTCCCTCACTCTCTCTCACTCTCTCTGTCTCTCTCTTTCTGTCTCTCTCTCTCTCTCTCTCACTCTCACTCTCTTCTTTCTCCCTATTTCTCTCCCTTTTAATTTCGTTTGTTCTCTTTGCCTCTTTCTTTTGCGCTCTCTCTCTCTCTCCCTTCTTGCCTCTTTTGCTCTCTCTCTGTTTCTCATTTGCTCTCTCTCTCTCTCTCTCTCTCTCTCTCTCTCTCTCTCGCCCTGATTCACTTGCTGTACTGTGCAATCTCTTTCAATCTGTCGCTCTTTCTTGCCTTCTTTTTCCTTATCTTCTTTTTTGCTCTAATTCGCTTGCTTTACTTCTAGATTACACACCCCCGACCTCTTACATTCTTATTCACACTCTCTCCCCACCTCTCCTACTCTCTTCTCTCTCTCTCACACTCTCTCTCTCACTCTCTCTCTCTCTCTCTCTCTCTCTCTCTCTCTCTCTCTCTCTCTCATATTTGCTCTCTCTCCTTGCATATCTATTTTGCTCTCCCTCTCTCTCCCTTTCAGTTTCTCGTTTGCTTTCTCTCTGTCCTTGTCTCTCTCTCTCTCTTTTTTTTCTCTCTCTCCTTGCCCCCCTCTCTCTCTCCTTGCCTCTCTTGCTTTCTCTCTCTCTTTCTCTCTCTCTCAGTTCAGTTCAGTTCAGTTCAAGTTTGATTGACTTGACAAATTTACATTTGTATTGTCAAAGCACTACAAATTATCTATATATTTAACATTAATAAAAACAAAATACAAAACAGATTAAGATATAACAAGAAGAGAGTCTCTCTTTCTCTCTCTCTCTCTCTCTCTCTCTCTCTCTCTCTCTCTCTCTCTCTCTCCCTCTCCCTCTCCCTCTCCCTCTCTCTCCCTCTCTCCCTCTCCCTTTCCCTCTCTCCCCCTCTAACATGTCTCTTCCACACTCACTCTTTTTCTCCTCTTTCTCCTGAGATGCATGTCGTCCTGTGGGTTAAAATGATGCACATCTTGATCTTGATGATCTCTCCTCTGTTATCAGGACGTTAGCTTTTGCAGAAACACAGCTGATCACAGTCGTTTGAGGGTTTAAGGCTTGTTGAGCTGCTGTTTAACTCCCTTTGTCGAATGTCTGATGTGCAGCAGAGTGAAGGTCATTCATATTTTCAGACTGTGTGATTTGAACCCTAATGGAGTGAAGCACTGTGATTCAGCCTGTTTAAAAAAGGGCAGTACAGTCCAGACATAAGCTGTTAAGCTTGATTGGAGAAGTCAGAGGTTGGACTGCACAGTATGGACAAACTACTGGTATTGTGATTATACTGCTGCATCATATGATCAATCTGGTTCATGATAATGAAGCATTTAAGATTAAACATTAAAGACTGCTTGTGTTGTTTTGATCTTTGTTGGATTCCACAAATACCTTGATTCACTAACACTCATTTAGAACTGTGATTGATTAACAGGACACAGTAAAACCCGTTGTGATTGGTTAAGTGGCTCATTTGCATGTTCTAGCCTGTTGTGATCTCAGTGTTGCAAAATAACAGCTGATATATTGTGCCGTCCTGCTCAGTGCACTTCCATTTATGGTTATTCTTTTAGTCAGTCTCATGCTCTGCCTTGTGGGTAAGGGCAGCAGTAGTGTGGACAGACATGAGGTCAGTTTGTACAGGGGCTGGGGGCTGGTGGGAACGTTCTGAGTGGCAGAGTGGGCCTGGTGTCTGGGTGATAAGCTGGAGCTCTGGCGCTCAGGTCTGAGAGTGTTTATTTGAGCTTCGTCTGGCTCCTCACACACTGAGGTCACACCTTTCACACACTGAGACTGACCAGAGCCTGTCATCCATCCATCCATCCATCTCTCTCTCTCGTTTCCTTTTTCCTCCCTCTTTCTCCCCTCTCTTTTTCTTTCCTACCTCTTCTCCTTTCACGCTGTCTCAGCCTTTTCCTGTGTTCTCTCTCTTACTCTTAATCTCCCCTTTTCTCTTTTCTCCCTTTTTCTTTTCTGTATCCCTTTCCTGTATTTCTCACTGTCTCCCTTTCCTCTCTCTCCTTCTCTATCCATTTTTCTTCCCTTTTCCCCTTCTGTTTCACTCTTACCATCTCTTTCCTAACACCCTCTCGTTTTTCTCTCTTCGCTTTCTCTTTCTCCTTCTATCTCTTTCTTTACCCATACCTCTTCCACTCCCTCCCATCTTTTCCTCTCTCTTTTCCTCTTTTCCTCTCACTTCCACTGTTTCTCACTCTTAGTCTCACTTAGTCTCTTTTCCTCTTTCTCATCTCTCTCTCTCTCTCTCTCTCTCTCTCTCTCTCTCTCTCTCTCTCTCTCTCTCTCTCTCTCTCTCTCTCTCTCTCTCTCTCTCTCTCTCTCTCTTCCCCCCCCCCAGTCTTGTAGCATTCCTCAGCTCTACACTAATGTGTCATCTCTCACTCGTGTGTGAGCAGTAGGAAAAAGCTGTGACCGGCACTGGCTCGAAAATCTCCTGAATGTTAAAGTTATGCACGCACAACCACAACATCTCTCTCAGCTCCTCTCTCAGCTCCTCTCTCAGCTCCTCTCTCAGCTCCTCTGTGTGTTATGTGAAGTGCAGAAACAGATTTCAGTCACTTTAAATGTAGCCAAGATATGTTTTGTGTCTGAAATTTGCTCTTTTTCTAACAAGTATTAAAAGCCTATAGCCGTCAGTTTGCATGGTTCACAATGACACGCTTGTCTCAGACCGTTGGTTGCTACATTTTTATAGATGTGATAACTGTCATACAGTGTTAAAGCCCACATAAGCAAACCTCACAAATCTTGGCTCCTGGTTGACTGACTAAAGTTACATTAGTTGGAGTTGGTTAAGTAACATGGGTTAAAGAAGGGTGTAAGATACAGTGTATTGTCTTATATCAAATTCTATGTAGAATTATTGTAGTGTATCGTATCGTAATGTATTGTTGTATTGTGACTAGTATGTTAGCTTGTGACTAGAGCGTTAGATCAGGTCACTACAAAGCCCAGCTTTCCTTTAAATATTGTAGTTTTCTTATGTTGAACGCATTAAGAAATTAAAAACAGAAATATGAACATGTCATTTTAAGCCATGTTCTTAGCCACTCGATAATGTTAGCTTGTGGCTGGTCTGTTAGCTTGGGGCTAACATTAGCGTGTGGCTAGAGCATTAGATCAGGTCACTACGAAGCACAGCTTTTCTTTCAAATGTTGTAGTTTTATAATGTTGAAAGCTTTAATAAACAGAAATATGAACGTGTGATTTTAAGCCATGTTCTTAGCCCCTCAATTCAAAATCGTATCATATTGAACCTATTAATTTTTTAAATGGTTGCACAGCTATGGGAAATGGGGAACAGCTATGGATAATGGTTTATGACCAACAGCTCAGTTTTCTAAAATGAGTAATTGCCATGCTATTTTACACCAAACACAAAAAGCACTCAGTCAAGTTACTGCGGCTGTCTTCTTCCCGCAAGTCATCCGTTTTGTCCGTTCCATGTTTGTCATAGTTGTCAAAAGAGTCTAACAGTGAGCATGACCTTTATGGGATAGATGTCTTACAACAAAAAAAAAAAGATCCCTCAGTATTGAAGATCTGCCAAGACCAACAGAACCTTTCCTGATGCACCTCGTTCACGCTGCAGCCATCAAGCTGGGGCTGCTCAGAGGAGCGTGTTTGTTTCAGAGGTTGAAAAAAAGCTGCAGTTACTTGATCCAGATGTGGTAGATCAAGCTCTCTCGGAGTTCAGGCGTTCGAGAGTGATCAGTCTCTCAAAAGCAGGGTCAGCACAGCGGTCACTGACTTCTGACCGTTCAATCTGAATTTTTTTTTTTTGGGCCTCTAAAGGAGAACAAGATGCAAGCGGGGTTCACAAATGTTTAAAGTACACAATTTAGGGGTGTAAAAATCAGTGAACTATGACTGTTAGAGCTCAGCCTCCAGGTCAGACCTTAACAGGCACAACTCAGTCGAAAGTGAGTGGGGACAAAAAAGCTCTCTACCAAAATGATCATTTTTGTTAGCGCCCCTATGGGATTTCTGTGGTATGTTGGCACTAAGCTAACAGGATTCACATGAACATTTTTTTGGCTGCTGTAAACATGGATATTTGAATCTTGTAAAATACATTACATGTTTTATTTGATGTTTGTAACAGGCGTTAACATATATTTTACCTCGCTGCAGCTTTACAGTGACTCGGTTAAGAGTCCTAGCAGAGCACTGCTGCTGTTTTCCATTTCCAACAACCACATGAAATGCTTTGGTTAGGCTACCACTCATACTCATGATCAGTGACGTGTCTAGAACTTTCAGAAGTCACGTTTTTAACGACATTGATCCCACCCATTGTAAATCCAAACACTGATTTCACTGTTCCTGATTCATTTAGTTGTTAATCTGACACACAATAAAATTCTTGGGCTGTTTTCAAACCTAAGAATGAAAAGGCTTAGTTTATTGTTTGTTGTCTTTCTTGCACTTCTGTGGAAATAGTTCCTTGAGTTCTACTTTTCATATAATGCATTTTTACAAGTGAAATTTGAGACTTCATCATTCATTGAATTGCTTTTTAAAAGATCAGCCTAAATCATTGGAACGACAAAGATTTACACCCCCACTACTAGTTCTAATCACATTATATTCTACAAGTTCTGTTCAGTTGTCTGCTGTGTAGACTGGTGTCTGTAGGATCTTGTGAGAAGTGAGTAGTTTAGGCTGTGTTTGTAGTAAAGGATGTTTTTCTCATTTTCTCTAAAAGCTTACATTGACATTCAGGGTCCTGACCTTTTTGCCCCTTTTGCCCCCATACTCAGGCTACTTCCTGGAGTTCGTGGAGCAGCCGAGCAACATGACCATAATGCAGGGCCAGGCGGCCACGCTGCACTGCAAGGTAGCCGGTAACCCACGGCCCACCATCCGCTGGCTGAAGAACGACGTCCCTGTGGTGCAGGAGCAGGGCCGCATCTCCATCCGAAAAACTGAGTTCGGCTCTAAACTCCGCATCCAGGACCTGGACACCACCGACACGGGCTACTACCAGTGCGTCGCCTCCAGTGCGCTCAAAGTCATCTCCGCCACCGGTGTGCTGTATGTGCGGCTAGGTAAGAGCTCACGGGTCTGCAGTGACTCTCATAGGCACCTTTTTAATTTCTCATTTTCAGTCATTTCCCACTTGCAGCTGATTAAAACATGTTGATTAACTGTATAAAAGGGCAGACTTCCATCAATACCACATTTTTGTTTGTAAGTAGAGGAAGGACATATTTTATTACAATAGTTTTTTGCCATTTTTTGCCATTGAACCAGATGGGTGCATAATTGGGGCTGTTGTATGGTCTGTGTTGGTCTGGTGAAGTTCCTCCCTGTCCCCCCATCAGTCATTGCAGTGCTTGCCAGTTCTTGCCATTGTATGCTTGCCATCGTGGGTGTCTTTTATCTGACATAAGACAATTGGCAGTTAGTGTTCTCCTTCATGCACCAGTTTGGGAATTATGGGAAAATGTTGATATTTTGATATTTTTCATGTGCATAACTGCCAATGCAGACACAAAAACATTTTTAAAATGTAGAATTTGAGACATGATGTGTGTAGATTAGCATTACAGATAAATATAACATTTATTTCTGTGGAGTTACGAATACAGTAAAAGTAATAAAATGTTGATATGATGATGCTGTAACCCAGCTTTATCTAAACCTTCTGCTTTTCCAGAGTAAAATAAATACATGGTCCAGTATTATTTTGAAATATTGATCAAATCTAAACATCTGTCTGGTGCATAAGTTTTTAAGCAAATATCTGACAGCATTTATTTAATTCCAGTGTCACTGTACATCTCTACTATCTCATTATGTTGCTTTAGCAGCAGTTTGAAAAGATGATGCGGTGATGCTTTACGTGAATTCAACCTGAGGGAGGGAAAAAAAAAAACATGAGAAAACCTGTCGATAATGTAATGTACCTGTCAGAATGTAAATCAGTTGTAACCAGTATAATTCATTATGTAATTACTAGAGAAAATTTTTGGGAATTGTTTTAACTAAATATCATTAGTTGGCCGGTAATCATTAACTGGCAAAACGTTTAAAGCCATTGCAAAATATCCGATATACACACTCTTACCCTACAAAAGAACCCAGTTTTTGTTCAAACTGGGGGGCCGATGAGTATAAAATTGATAATTATAAGATAATATATAATTGTGTAATGATAATTGTATGCCCCAAAATCAAAAATTGGACGAAATGACTGGAATATGTAATGATTGGCTGCTGAAATTTCTGTATTCTAAAGTTTCCAAAGTTTAAACAAACATAAATGCCATGACCAGGTCAAGCTTTGGGTCAGTGTTCCTCAGTAGCTCTTAAAAGCCATCGCCATTCACCACATCCTTCTCTATAATTTTGCACACCCTTGCATTTCCTTACACCAGTGTACATCACACTTTGTCTCAGAGATCATGAATGAAACAGTTGTCTGTCTTATTGTTTGTGGTGGGTTATTATAGTTCCTCTGGTAAGGTGGTCCTGAACACCACTATCTTTAGCTGTGTGTTTCATTTCTAGAAGGTTTATCTAGAGAAACCAGTTGCTTATTGCGCCCTCAAGGGTACAATCCAAAAACTTTCCTAAATGTGAATGATAAACACACCAGTATCAATTAAATTACCATTTTTTAACTGATAGCTTTGGTCTAGCAAGTGCTTAACCAGTTAACCCTTAACAGACACACAATAATTTACATCCTTGGTGTTTTACATATAAATTTTCTCACATAATTTGTATGTAAAGCAAAATGACAGCAACAATTCTGTTCTTCTAAGGGTTAATGGATGTTGCTGATCTGTTCTTTTACATGTGGGTGGGCACTTGGTTTTTATAGCTATGGTTCCAGTTCAGCTCAGTTTCTTATGCCAAATTTAGATTTTTTTTTCAGGCAAAGGTAAATGTCAAATTGAACTGATCTAAAACTGCGTAGTTTAAGGAAAAATGGCAATGAATGACGATGCTGTCGAACAAGCTCGGCCCTTCAAAATTCCTGTGGTTGGTATGCCAATACAAAGCTCTCTCAGACTTTGCTTCCCAGGTATAAAATGTTCTTTTAGTCCATCACATTTCGGGGTCACAATATCCATATTCTCCTGAGCACTGTTAAACGTCACCATCATAGGTCTAGTGTTTTCTTTCCTGTCTGCTTGTTTTAGGTTATTATATGGGGAGCCCATCGGCTGGTAGGCTGAACTAAAGCAGCAGTGTTCAGAACCATGTGCAAGAAATCTCTGCCGGGCATCGCGGTGGATTTATAGTAGGGCACCAGTATAAATCTCTGAGTCTGTCCATTAGGGCTCCACTTTAGAAACAACTTCCCACTGGTTAGGCCAAAACGGGCCTTTAACGGGGGAAAAACTCTATTGTGTGCGTATGGTAAACTCTCCACTACAAGCACATTCCCATATATTACACCGTGTGCCTGACAGCTTTAAGAGTGCACTCGAGTGAAAGTACGCCTCCTGCCTCCCTGCAAAGTCATCTTAACGTAATGATGTTGTTATTTCCCCTGAACTGAAATGGCAGATTAGGCTTAGTGAAAACATTAGGTGGATCTCAAAGGAGAGATCAGGCTGAAAGGCTAAGGAGGATGAAAGAGTACGCCTTGACACAAGCAGTTCATCTTTCTATGCTCGATCAAATGCTACATGTGACACAGGGTTGCGTTCTGGTGCCTTTATGATGAAAGCACTGGTCATTTTCTCTCTGAGAGGGCAGTGGAAGGTTGACAAATAGCTGTCGTAACTCTAGCAGGCTGTCGAGTGTGTGCTTGAACTTGTCTGCCACTGCAGTCTGTGACTTGCTTGACTGGTGATGGATGCAGAATTTGAAGGAGCAGATGGAGATGATCAGGTTCAGATCTACTTGTTCTGTTGAATTACTTAACACACAGGCGAGCTTGTTTGTAATCCTCTTGTTTTTTCCTTTTTGTTTTACAGGCCAGTCTCCAACCCATGGCCCAGATGATGCGTAAGTTTTTTGTGTTTTTGATATTATGTAGCATCATAGTGTCAATGATTTATTAGATGATTGTTTATTCTACGTTTCGGTATTTATTCATTATTCATTAGTTTATTTATAAGTCATCTTTAGCTGTTTTTCCAACTTTCTTTGTTCCAAAATTTGTCGTAACACTTCAAAAACATTTGCATATAAAGTTAGCTCTATAATAATTGGCACCCTTGAAAAAGGTGGGTTAAAAAAAGTCCTCTTTGTGGTTAATTAGCTCTCACACTGAAAATATGAGAGAAATCTAACCTTTAAATGGAGTAAATTTAAACCAAGAATGATCCTTATCAAACAATGAATGTTTTAACAGCAACATTGTTGTTCTGACAACAAACCCTCGAGGTGAGGTTGGCATAAAAGAATGATTTCTATAGAATGAAACTTCATGCCCACTGTTAGGTATAGTGGAGGGTCTGTGATGTTTTGGGGCTGTTTTTCCTCCAAAGGCCCTGGAAACTTTTTATTAGAATACACGGCATCATATACTCTATGAAGTACCATAGTGGACCAGACCTGGTCCTGAAGATCTACTTTGGAACCAGAGTCTAATTCCAACCACGATCTGTCACACCTGCTCCAGCTAAATAACTTATTCCCAAGTCCCTGATTGGCTGGATTGGATGCATTAGATTCAGGTAAGAGGGGCACGGCAGCTTATTATACAGTTTCAGATTAAAATTCATCAGGAAAGTAGATCTCCAGGAAGAGGATTGATGACCACTGAAGTACTGGATTTTAAATGAAAATCTGGCTACCTCTGGCAAAAAGCAGAAATTAGACTGTGGTTGGATCTTCCAACAGGACATTGATCCAAAATGTCCACATCCAAAAATGGTTAAGGAACCACAGAACCAAGCAAATGATATGGGTATTCCTGAAGCCTGGCCTGAAGCCTAGGTGAGCTAAAGAGGATAGTCCAAAAGGAGAACCTAGGACCCCTGAGGTTCTTTAGAGATTCTGTATAGAGAAGGCATCTCAGATCTCTTGCTCTATGTTTCCAGTGTCATTAAGCATTAGGAGAAAACTCACTGCTGTTATTTTGGGGTATAAGGGATGTTGGTAAAAAGTATTAATTGCAAGGGTGTCAATAATACATGTGGTTTTGTTAAAGTTATTTTTATAAGGGTTTTTGTGCTCTTAGGGTAAATTTACTTCAGTTTAAGGTTAGATTGTTCTCATATGTTCAGTGTGAGATTGAGCTAATTAAGGCATTTTTCCATTAACTTTTTTTTTTTTACTCTGAGTACCAATAATTATGGAGCTGGCTATATATTGACCTCCAAAAGTTTGGTGACGGCTAGTTTAAATGCATAAACGCATGCTTTGTTGGTTTGCAGTAACTTAACATACTAAATAGAAAACTTGCTGTTTTCTTTGCTAAAACTGCTAAACTGAAGAAACAACTGATAATGTTAAAATAGTAAATGCAGTTACCTGCTCTTCATATCAAGGAAGCTAAGGGTTAGAACTAAAATGTACCCAAATATGCACTGACCGGTCATTGCATTAGGTATGCTTCGTTGTATCTACACTCATTGTCCATTTTATCAGCTCCACTCACTATATAGGTGCACTTTGTAGTTCTACAATTACAGACTGTAGTCCTTCTGTTTCTCTGCATACTTTGTTAGCCCCCTTTTACCCTGTTCTTCAGTGGTCAGGACCCCCACAGGACCACCACAGAGCAGGTATTATTTGGGTGATGGGTCATTCTCAGCACTGTAGTGACACTAACATGGTGGTGTGTTAGTGTGTGTGGTGCTGGTATGCGTGGCTCAGTAGTGCTGCTGGGGTTTTTAAACACTGTGTCCACTCACTTTCACTCTATTAGACACACCTCACTGCTGGACTGAAAATAGTCCACCATCAAAAATATCCAACCAACAGCGTCCTGTGGGCAGCGTCCTGTGACCAGCGTCCTGTGACCACTGATGAAGCAACAGGTAGGTGTGCCTAATAGAGTGGACGGTGAGTGGTTACAGTGTTTAAAAACTCCACCAGCACTGCTGTGTCTGATCCACTCGTAGCAGCGCAACACACACTAACACACCACCACCATGTCGGTGTTACTGAAATGCTGAGAATGATCCACCACCCAAAATAATACCTGCTCTGTGGTGGTCCTGTGGGGGTCCTGACCACTGAAGAACAGGGTAAAAGGGGGCTAACAAAGTATGCAGAGAAACAGATGGACTACGGTCTGTAACTGTAGAACTACAGAGTGCTTCTATACAGTAAGTGGAGCTGATAAAATGGACAATGATTGTAGATACAAAGAGGTGTACTTAATAAAGTATTATCAACTAATAATCGCTGCCTTATGTTTGCAAAACCTTCCTGCTATTTTTTTTTGCTTAGTTAGTGAATCGTGAAAATCAAACATTACTTTTTCAAAAGAAGGCACAGAAGTATTGATGAGAAGTGCAGCTTTTTTTTAACCTTACATATAAATGCACAATCCTGTGGTGAATTAGTCATAAACAGCACTTACTCTTTAATACAGAGATAAAGAGAATTCCTCTTCTGTAGAGACAGATGGTTTAAAGGGCTGATTCACTCTATTTCCAGTCAGGGATGACCAGGCATCTCCTGGCAGCTGCATCTATCTCTTCTTAAACATCTAATCTCTGCTAATACTAAAGAAACTTTAATGAGTGCGAATGGCAGTGCTTTCTTTCTCGTTTCCTTTTATGAGAAGTGTGTTCAGTGTGGACTGAATGGAGGAATGAAAAGAAAAGTGGTGGCAACCCCATCCAGGTTGCTTTGAGGAGAGATTAAAAGCTATGCTGAGTCAAGGACAGGAAGCTTATTCAGAGTGTTGCAATTGAGCAAGCATTATGACATCACTGCTCCTTTTTACCTACTTTTTTTTCCTGAGAGCTGAGCTTTGAAGACATTTAGTTCTCTCCTGATACTCCTCAAGCTGTCCCTATTCCTCAGGTTCTTTTCTTCCTTTATTTCGTATTCTGTCTCTTCTTGTCCGCTGCCTCCTTTGCTGTAGTACTGCACTTGTTTGGTTTGCCAGTGAAAGTGAGGCTAAGGAGTGTTAGCGGTGAAAAGGTCTCCATAGATGCTGTGTGTGGCAGAGTCTGGAGCTGGACCCAGAGCTCCATCAGCAACAAAGAGCCTTTCTGGCCTTCATTTCCCTGAGAACCAGCAACCTGGCAGTCACCCTCGGCTGGGGAAAGAAAGCATGAGGCGAGGTCGTAATTGTTCCTTTCTCAACTTTAAATAAATACTTAAATGTCTGAGAGGACATTCAGCAAAGTCTAAATATGCTCTTAAAGGGTGAAAAAAGGCTTTTTGGAGCGATGCCCCTCTAAAGCACCTCTCAATGGGTGCTTCTTTAGAGAACCATTTTTGTAAATGAAGTGTGAGAAACGTTTTTAAAGTTCAAAGCAGCTTTACATGATGTAAAGAAGCCATGTCACTTCAGATATTTTTCCCAGAACGATATGCTGAAGCTGAGAACTATTAGAAACCATTATTTTTAACAGTGTATTGATCCAGCATATCACCCTTTACATAGGCCTGTCAGAGTTGCTACGCTATCACATGATTGCACATATTTAAATGGGAGTTCCATATTTTTTTCACAACCTCTGCATAACATGTTTAAGAATGTTTAGATGTTGTGAAATTCACCAACACTCATCCTGGAGATCTGCTTTCCTGCAGTGTTTAGTTCCAACCTGCATCTGACATGCTGCCCATTACCTACACTAATGCATCTGATCTAGCCAGTCACGGACTTCTGAGGAAGTGAATTAGCTGGAGCAGGTGTGGCAGACTGTGGTTTGAGCTACAGTCTACAACAAAGTAGATCTCCAGGACAAAGGTTGGTGGCTCCTATTAAAGAGAAGTTCTTTACATTGGTGGCGATAGGAACCAGACATCTGAAGAGTGTAATGCCCCAAGTGCTACACAGTAGTAAGTAATTTTGAGAAAGTTTTGGCCTCAAATGTACTTGTTAAAAAAACGTTCATGGCAGAGAGGTACATGCCCTGTCACCAACACTGTACAGACAATCTGAGTCAGTAAGTTTCTGTACTGTTTTTAAAAAAACTTTGCATAAGTCAGTGGATGAGATGTGAACATAGTCATTCAGAGTGGTCTGACATGAAATGGTTCATTGTAGAGAAGCCTGTAGTCTCTGGTGGTGATCGGAACCAGGGGTCACAATGTCTACAATGCAAATGTAGCCACTTTATTTACCAAGCAAACCCACCAGTGAACCTACACACAGGTATTTGTATGTAATGTTGATGGTTAAAAAAAAAAGTGGTGAATTTGAATTTTTATTATTATTATTTTTATTTTGCCTTACAGTGTGCTGCATGTACCTCTTCTTAAAGAATGGATTTTAAAAATGTGTGTTTTAAACCAAACCTTCTCAACACTAATGTAAAACAGTGTCTCAGGCATCAAGCAGTGTATTCATGACGGTTTCATGTAATACCTTTCTGTGAGCGAGCTTTAAGAGGCATTAAATTCTTCAGCCGTCTGGTTCCTATCACCACCACTGTGAACAATTCTGACTCTCAAGTTTCTCTAGAGCAGAGCAATTCATGTCAAACAACTCTGAATTACTTTATTTACACTTTAACCATGCAGATACTTGGAAAAAGGCACTGGAATTTCCCTTTAAAATTACTGTTAATATCGAAATGTACTTAATTGTGGACCTAATTGCTAAGTCTTTCATATTCCATGTAAATAGAACCAGAAGGTCATGGTCATTTTGAGCTGATCCATGCTGTAAGTATCCCCTCAGTGTAAGTGGACTGCTCTTTGGTCTGTAAATACTTTTCTTTGTCCTGTCTTACTGATGAGGATCAGTATGTTCTTCAGCATGTTGAGAGTTCTTTGGAAGCAAAGATCAGCACAGTCTGACAGAGAACTTTTCTAACGTCTAAGTGATAGTCAGTGGAAATTAGAATTTCCCCAATTTCCCCTTTACC